CTCCTCTCCTCATGTGATGCTATCCTCAGTAAGTGGCCTAACAGTCCTTCAGGTTATTATAATCTAACTGATGTTAATGGACATACTCATCATGTATACTGTCACATGGAGACTCTGTGTGGTAAAGGAGGAGGCTGGAGAAGAGTAGCTAGTCTAAATATGACTGATCCTAATGAGAAATGTCCTACTCAGTTTAGAACTTATTCACAAGATGGAGTTCGTGCTTGTGGTAGACCAGTCACTAATAGTGGTAGCTGTGTTAGTATAACATTTCCATCAAAAGATATACAATACTCTCAAGTATGCGGCAAAGTAATTGGATATCAATTTAAGTTCACCGATGGATCTTATAGACATCAAACTGGTAGTAGTATTAACTCACCATACATTGATGGTATTAGTCTAACTTATGGTGGTCCAAGAAAACATATCTGGACATTTATTAGTGGTGCTACTGGCAGCGGAATATATAATCGTTGTCCTTGTGGTACTCCTAAGTCTCACTCTGTCCAGGAGTCTTGGTCTGCCCCATCATTTGTTGGTTCTCAATATTACTGTGAAGCAGGATTTGAAGGATCACCACAGCTGCCTTACGATTCTAAAATATACACTTCTGATCCATTATGGGATGGTAAAGGTTGTGGTAGTAGTGAGACCAATTGTTGTCAGCGTACTCTTATTCCTTGGTTCTATAGATCTTTTACTCACTCTACTACTGATTATATTGAGATGAGGATATGCTGTGATGAAGGAACAAGTGATGAAGATGTTCCTTTTGCAGAATATGAAATTTATGTTAAGTGATGATAGAGACTTTTTGTATTTTGAAAAGTTTGCTTTCCTTTTTTTCTGCTGAGTTAATTAATGGCTGATTTATCTTTAGTTATTATTATAATCTTTTATTAATAATCTATTATTAATAATCTATTTCAGTACAGTGGATGAGGTTCATTATTTTGTCACATCCTTTAAGTAATGAATATTTATAACTCATAAATGACCTTTCACATGTGATCAATCATTGCATCATCAGTTAATAGCTATCTGCAGTTCACATTAATAAAAACTATTAATAACTATATATTATATAGTACGTAATATGATGTGATTCTGTTAGTCCATTGCTAAATGAAGGAAGTTACACTATTGCCATTTCTTGTAATAAACAAACACTATGTTATTGATAAACATTAGCTATACATCACGTAACAGTGACAAATTGTGTACACCTAGCGATCCTGTTGACACATCGATTGTTTATTCTGATCATAATGATATTAAATAATTTGTTCCTCATGACTTCATGCTACTCTACTCATTTAAGATATAATTCAATATATTTAGGTCAATTTCTTGACTCTCTGTCTCCATTTAATCTAATAGATGTAGCCTAAGACGCTGCGCTGGCCCAATTCATAGCGTACCCACTAATTATTATTGTTTCCTGTTTATATGTACCGTGACTATTAATTCCCTCTTACTACCACAGTTTGTATTTTATTAGATTATTTTTGAGTCATTAATTTTATTTACAGTGTATAATTTTTTCTCTACACATGACGCATATGTACATGTACATATACATTGCAATGAAGATTATTAATAATAGTTTTATTTCCTATTCTCTGTTATTATTATTATTATTAGGTGACAGGGTAGCCATTGAACCCGGTGTTCCCTGTAGGACGTGCTCTTATTGCAAAGGCGGACGCTACAATCTTTGTCCTGATATGCAGTTTTGTGCTACTCCACCAGTCAATGGCTCACTGGCTAACTATTATGTCCATGCTGCTGACTTCTGCTACAAGTAAAGAACTAATAATTATATACGTGTACATAATTATTCATTTATATGTTCTTATATTGTGGCAAATTTTAAGCTGAAATTAAATTTTTTTTTTGAAAGTTGGCCAAAGGCCATGGGCTATATAGTACAGGGTATTTTATCAAAAATGACTAGGAGAGGATTCTCTAATTTTATAATTTTTTCTGGTGCATATACATGTTCTTATGTTGTATAGCAAGTTTGAGCTGATTCCAATCAAAATTTGATTTTTTATGAATTTTTAAAGTTTCTGCAAAATTGGGCCAAAGTCCCTGTACTATAGTACAGGGTCATCGGCCAAATTTCACTAAAAATGACTAGGAGAGAATTTTTTATTTAAAAATTTTTTCCTGGTGCATATACATGTTTTTAAGTTGTGTAGCAAGTTTGAGCTGATTTCAATTAAAATTTGATTTTTTATGAATTTTTAAAGTTTCTCCAAAATTGCGCCAAAGTCCCTGTACTATAGTACAGTGTCATCGGCCAAATTTCACCAAAAATGACTAGAAAAGAATTCTTCATTTTTATAATTTTTTTTGGTGCATATACATGTTCTTAAGTTGTGTAGCAAGTTTGAGCTGATTCCCATCAAAATTTGATTTTTTATGAATTTTTAAAGTTGCTCCAAAATCAGATCAAAGTCCCTGTACTATATAGTAAGTGTCATCAGCCAAATTTCACCAAAAATGACTAGGAAAGAATTCTTCATTTTTATAACTTTTTCTGATAGGCATACGTGTTCTTATGTTGTGTAGAAAGTTTGAACTGATTCCAATCAAAATTGGAGTTTTTTTAAAGTTTTTTAAAAGTTGACCTAAGATCATGGGCTATTATACAGGGTATTTCATCAAAAATGACTAGGAGAGGATTTTTAATTTTTATATATTTTTTCTGATGTGTATGAAGAACAAACTGAAGCCGAGAAACGAACAGATGCTTTCCTTGTTCACTAAATTAATTTTTTTACCTTCATCTTTGGCTTTGTTTTACTTGTTGACATTACTATTGCATTTGCTATAAGAATTTTGAAATAATTTAGTTATGAGATTATCTCTCTGTCTGCAAATTGTTATTGTTTCGTGATTGAAATATTTTGCGTGCAATTTCAATGAGAAACATTTGAGAGTTTACACAAGTGGCATTGTTAGGCGCTGTCCATTAATTAGATTGATATCTAATAGTTTACATTATAACCTTATTGTAGCATTCTTCCATAATTAATGTATTAAACTTATGACCTTCTTTCTCTCACGCCATCTCTTCTCACACCTGTTCCCTCTCTCTCCCTCTTTCCCCCTTTATCTCACTCACCTCCTCCCTCTCTCTGATAACAGGTTACCGGATCACGTTTCATTTGATGAAGGTGCACTGCTTGAGCCATTAAGTGTAGGTGTACATGCTTGCCAGAGAGCTGGTATTGGTTTGGGTTCCAAAGTGTTGGTCTGTGGTGCTGGCCCCATTGGTCTAGTCTGTCTCCTGACAGCTAAAGCATGTGGAGCATCAGATATTGTTATTACTGGTAGGCAATGAGTACTACTGCAGTGTTTTTAAATAAATGATCTTGAATTTGAGCTCATACTTTCTGCATAACACAATAGCATTGATATAATATATGTAATAGCCATTTTTCTATAGCATGATCTTTGGGATTATAACAGCATTAATGAAACTCTTAGTATCTTGATAGAAGTATTAGTTATTACTATTACTATTAGTGTGCTATTACATGTAAGCAATTTTTGTCTTATGGAGTTACATGCAAGTGCTTGTGTATAGTTTGATGTTGCCTGTGAAGTCTTTCATTGCAGATATTCATGTACCAATTGTATTATTGTATATATGAAATTCATTGATTGTCTTACAAATGTACGTGACATCCTGCTACAGTAATTTCATTAGGCTCACACCTCTTCTTAACATGAGATCATTGACATGTTATTGCATGCACTGGGATACTCTTCATTATCATGGGAAGAAAGAGACGTGTATTTGTTATCATTATGATAGCTATTCTGTGTAAAGTGTATGGTTGGGAAGTAGCCTGAAGGGAATGAGATGAAGTAATAGCTTGATATGCTAATCAGTGTGTTTTGATTAGAAGATAAACACTAGGTCACTGACCAAAATTCCCTTGTACATCATTACTAAGAATAATTTAATTATTTTCATTACTGTTTGCGGCTCACAATTAAGAGATTTAAGAATACTTTTTAATAGTAGTGGTTTCTTAGAAATAGTAGTCCATTCATTGCAGCATTGCTACCATAGCATTTCTTGATATTAATGATCCTGATGTATGCTACTTTAATTTGTCTTGCTATTTTACAATCATTCCAATTATCGTGTCCAATTTCATGTTATGAGGTGTTCTTTATAATCATTGAATGAGTGACATTATTTCTACACAATGTCCAATTGGTATCATGAATACATTTGTACTATAATTATTATGACTATGCATAATAATAATAATAATAATAATAATAATAATAATAATAATAATAATTTTATTCTCTTTCTTTGTAACCCACCCTACACTGTATTTCAGATATGTTTCAATAATAATAATAATAATAATAATAATAATAATAATAATTTCTGAAATAATCACAACCATTATAAGTTACAATCATGCTTAATAAAATTTGAGCTATTATTCTGAGAACAATGTCTAGTAATTCAATATTAAATTTTTTATAGCGATACCATTACATGTACACGTATAAATTTACATGCATACCCTTACATGTGCATGTACATGCATACGTTGCAGTGTTTCTATTGTTGGGGTACATTTGATAGTATAACTGTGTTTTTCTTAACTTCCTGTCCTCCAAAGGAGTGCCTGTACTTGTACTCATTCATAAGGTTCACTCCTTCTCTTCTCATTATTGTGACATGAGGTCATGAACTATCGCTACTCACTTGTTGGGATGTTACAGGAAATTGTTTGGGATAATGTAACAAAAAGCTTTGACTGATTATTAGGCATGTATGTACAAGTACGTGTTTTGATTAGATTTGTTCACTAAATGTATTACGAACATAATATATTATTAGTTGCTCAGCTTCTACACGAAGCATTTTACAAGTTTAATTTATTTTTAATTTATAAATACCTTATGTAATACTTATTCATCCTCACAACTCAAAGTTTTGTGGCTTTAATAAACTTGCTATGTAGCTAATGGTCATCTATTATGTATCAGAAAATGTAACTAAAAAATTAGTTTAGAAATTTTTATGTTTTGTCAGATGTCCATGATTTAATTTTTAAATTAAAATAGACTCAAACAAAGTTTCTTAATCTACTGTATAGCCGCTTAATTTTGAGGGTACAATTTTTGTTGCTTTTGCAAATTTTCTGTATCTGCGAAAGTTAATTTTGTAAAATTATGTGTCTCAACCTACAATTACATGTACTTTACGTAACATGGTGTGGCTTTACAAAATGTGAAGTTGTGAACCACAAAAGTTAATTCACGAAAAAGACTTGTGGTCTGATTCGCAAAAGTTTATTGCCTCAAAACTTTGTGACTATAAGGTATGTTTTATATTAAATAAAATGACTTGTTTATTATCGTCAACTAATTTCTTTTTATTGGTTGTTTACGCTCTCATCCTGTTGCTGACTGTACTGTACTAGCCTGTTTATTCTTGAGTCTTGTTAATAGTACTGGAATGCTAGCTTGCAGGATGCACTTGACATACGAATACTCTAAAAGTCGATCACGTACTCACAGGCAAGCACAATGATATAACACTGCTTTCATGATTGTTTACATACTTTGTATGATAATGTATGGTACAATTAGCCATGTCCGGTGGTCTAGGAGTGCCAATTTCACGGCGGACTCTAATTTGTTATTGTGTGATTCTCTCTTGCCTGACTTCCTGCTGGTTAGAGGTGTAATGTACTTTTACTCACTCTTCGTTATTTTCATTTGTAAGAGATGAGGTCATTGATTGTATAGCCTCTAGTTGTATCCCTGGGATATCATGCTATAGAGAGACAGGATAGCAGACTGGGTAAGGTAAGGTGGCAGACTATCAATGGGGTGTACAATAACTGGAGAATTATATAAACTTATAGTTCATAGTACAGACTACGGATTGTATTACACAAAGTGCATATAATTGATCTCACTAACAAAATTAATGCAAATTATTACAGTATCATTGCTTTGTGTAAATAATGTAAAACACATTTCAGTGTAGCGTGTAAAAATTTAGAACTGTAATTTCACATTTAGCACTTTTTTAACAAAGTGTATTATATTTTTATTTATTTTATTTAATTCCTAATATTTCCTGTATTGTGAATTTGTGATTTAAGAAGATACAAGTGACTATAGTTTTTGTTTCATTGTTGTTAGAAATTCCTTTATATTGAATGTTAATTTTCTTTGGGCGTCTTCCATTCTTCGTCAAACTATAATAAACAATTGCATCATTGTTATTGTGCCGTGTATACAAACTACTTAATCTAATAAGAGAAATGATCTATTAAGTATTGAATGCAGTAACTAACATTAATATTCTACTGCATATCAATACTATAATATATAGTATATATATATATATATATATATATATAATAGTTACTGCCTTCAATTAAAGTGTGCATGTAGCATAGTTGTATTGAAGCTGTAGCAGTGAGCCTCTCCCTTCAGAAACAATTGAGTTCAGACCATGTTTAGTAAATATATGGTACTTATATGAATTCAGGTCACATTTATCCTGTCTGTGTCTATGTGTGCATAGTAGTGTAGCACAAGTTTTGATAACAGTGCCAGCTTGCAGGATGTCAGCTATACTAGCGACGAATACTCCTAATGCATGCCTACATTAGCCAAGTCTTCAAATTCTTAGAGTAGTAGACTTACAATTAAGTTGATATTGGCATCTTGTTTACAATTAATAAATAACCTTGTTTGCACCTGATTTAAAATAAATTTTGCTCCTATTTCTTAAGACTGAATTAAAAATGAATTTTGTGAGATACTTTTCTTGGAATATCTTCTCTTTTATTTTTCATTCTCACAGTGACCATATTGTACACAATACATGTATGTTGATCTACCTGCCTCTTGTACATCCATCTATAGATCTTGATGCTGGGAGGTTGGATTTTGCTAAGAAACTAGGAGCAACCAGTACAATACAAGTCAAGACACGTGACACGCGTTTATTAGCTAAACAGGTCGAGGAGGCACTTGGTTGCAAGCCAGATCAGACTATTGAATGCTCAGGAGCTCAATCTTCAATATCAGCTGCTATATATGTAAGTATCAGGAAACTAAAATACATGTATATACATTATCAAGAGTATATAATATCTAAAGGTATAACACCTTTAGGTATTATGTACTCTTGACATTATGTATATGGTTGTATTGATCATGATGTTATGTTAGTGTGGTGGTGGTGCATGGTATGTTCATTACTCTGGCATATAATAAGGAGCTAGTGTATATGGGTGCCTTGCAGGGTATCCCAAAGGAGTTTAGCATAGTGCTCATGCTGCTTCTTGTCAGCCAATTGTCGGGTTGCTCAAAAATTGGGCCAAAGACCCAGTATTATATAGTGCAGTGAATTTTGACAAAAATCACAAGGAGGCATTCTTTCATTTTTATAATTTTTTCTGATACATATACATGTTCTTATGTTGTGTTTCAAGTTTGAGCTCATTTCAATAAAATTTGGATTTTTTATGAGTTTTTAATGTTGCTCAAAAATCTGGCCAAGGACCCTGTACTATAGTACAGGGTCGTTGGCCAAATTTCGCAAAAAATGACTAGGAAAAAATTCTCCATTTTTATAATTTTTTCTGATACATATACATGTACTTATGTTGTGTATCAAGTTTGAACTGATTCCGATGAAATTTGAATTTTTTATGAATTTTTAAAGTCACCCCAAATGCCATGTACAAGTAACTGTATTGTAGTGCTTGTCAGTTCATGAAGCTCGTTTGCTATTAGCTCAATTAACATACCTTATGGGAAACCCTAATGCCTTGTTTGTCTCTCTTTCCTTTTTTGTTAAACTCATGGTTCCAATTCTCTCTGACTCTCTCTTACCCTCACATCCTCTCTCTCCATTCCTTCTTACTGCGGTTTACTTAACTTACTACTACTCATTTGGCTGGAATGCTTTGAGAGAGTCACCCATTAGTACACCAGTTCACTTGACTATGAGAACTAATATGTTTACTGTCTTGTCTCTGTGGTATCCTCCAGACATCCAATCTATCATCAACTATACATTTGTCTCTCCACTACTTATGCCTTCCATCTTTACTACTAAACATTCCTCAAGCATGCAGACACTTTCAAGTTGTCTGCCGTCCTCTTCTAAATTTACTGGAAACACTGCCCTAGTTACTAAGCTACTGCAGTGTTTACAGGAACATTTAAAAAGCTATATTTAATTACATGTGTGTGTGTACACACATGATTACCCCTGATATTACTTAGCTAAGTATCAGATATTTAATTTTAAGCCTCAACTGCTCATCAAACGTACTATGATACTGTGTGTGTTACTTAGGATTGATATAAGATAGAAACAAGAGTCAATATATTGGTTATAAAGTATAATCACAATGTCACTTATGGATGTACATGTATCACCTCTACCACCCCTACATTAAGCTCCATGACTACTGTCTATGCATGCTGGACTATAATAACTATGAATCTACTGTTTTCGTATTAGTAGCTGTTCCTTCCACTCGACCTCTAGTCCGTCATTAATCTAATTAGACATAATTACATTGTTTAGGCCACTCGTTCAGGTGGGACACTAGTTCTCGTCGGATTAGGCGCACCTGAAGTACAGATACCAATAGTTGATGCCAGTGTGAGAGAAGTTGATATTAGGGGGATATTCCGCTACTGCAACTGGTAAGAATAATAATAATAACAACAACAACAACAACAACAACAACAACACTAATATTAGTATATATCTGTGCATCAATTGTGTCCCATTGATAATAATTATGCTATTAATAATTTAATTACTTGTTGTGGGTGTGCGGGGGAAGAAAATGGAACTAACATTGTTGCATAAAATCATATGAGATGACTCGTGATTTGTAGGCAAGTGTCAGTTACTGTATAAGCTATAATGTAGCGTGCACTCTTGAGGATTGTGGGCATTGCACTATGATGAATAAACAATGATTAGTATCAATTGAGTTAAAAGGCTGATTCTATTCTACTCATAGTGATTATAGTCTAAATGGATATGATTCAATAAATACAAGCACATAGTCTCCATTCTCTCTAATTAATCCAGCTCTTTGATATAATTAATGTGTATCTAATGAGCTGGTTATTCATCCGCATACTTTTCTCATGCAATTATTTAACAATCGATTCTCTCTCTCTTTACAGTTACCCGACAGCACTGGAGATGGTAGCATCAGGTAAGGTTGATGTCAAACCACTCATCACTCACTCGTACACTCTTGAGCAAACACTGGACGCGTTCCAGAGGGCAAAGACTGGCGAAGGAGGGGCCATAAAGGTCATGATACGCTGTGGGACAGAATAACACACTTACTGCTAATGATAAGTACCAATCTACCCTTTGCTAATACCATATTACAACACCTGCTGTTAAATATTATTTTGTGTAGACCTACTGCTGTTGCTATTACTGTTCATTGTATTATTATATTAATATTATTATTGCTTTTTTGAAAGGAAATAAGTATATTAATGTTATAAGTATTATAATTGATATTTATCGTACACGTTAAATTGAAAGTTATTGAAACAAGTGAGTAAATGTAGACAAATATGTGAACGAGGAAAAGGGGAAAGAAAGTGCAGGAGCAATGGAAACAAAAAACAGCACAAGAAGAGGAATAAACATGAAAATACAAACAACTACTCGTCAGTCGATAATCAACTCGTCCACTGCCCAGTCTTCATAACTCGAGTTAGGTAGGAAACGTCTTATGATGATAGGAACCTTCTTTGCCCTATGCACACACACACACATCATCATACCCGTAACTATTAACATCAATATAAGGGGGTTTTGGGTATTACTTTAGTTCTTTCATAGCAATTTTCAGTGGGTCTGTCTCTCCCTCTAGTTCGACCATGACAGGAGCACCCATGCTAATAATGAAAGTGTTAATACATCAAATATGGGGAGGGAGGGGACAAGAAAAAGAGATTAGTGAAACACAAATATAATAATAGTAGGAGAGTCTGGTAGTTGACACAACTGATGATTGTAACAAGTACATGTATATACAGGTCACGCATGTATTAGGAAGACAACAACACCATAACAGTATTAAGACAATTAGCTGCTACGGGTGCAATAAAATAACATTTACACACTCTAAATGATTGGTACCAACAAGTGTAATGACATTAATTACAAGAATGAGTCAGTAAAGGAGGAAAAGGTAACAAGATCAGGTGGATCACAAGACAATGCAGCTATCAGTTATAAGCATTCAATACCACAAACAAAGCTCACTATGATATTTTAAATATACACGTCTATTAATGAACCTCCTCCTGTCATTGGGTAACATGAGACGGATCCTCTTTGTGTCCACACGGTTCAGAAGCCATTGAACCATCGCTTTATGTCAGTGACACATATTAAAAGGCGTTCGTATCAGGTTGCAAAATTAAAATTCGACACTTATCAATAACGTATAGAGGCTGCAGACTGGTAGTAGATTTAAGAATTCCAAATGTTTGGTTGAGATGAGAAGCAGGGTAAAGTGTTGTATGCATACACTTACTCAAAGCATGCTAATCACCAAAACTCCCCCACTCGAGTAGAACTGATACATCAGGCAGTGTATCCATGTGCGTTAGGCTACTATGCATGACTCTAACAGCATGCACTCACAAGAAATACATGTAGGTATGTGTGTGTGTGTATACATGAACTCTGTACTAACATGATTAGTACAAATGGGACAAAACCAGGCAGGCCTCCATAGATGTACTATTATCATACTAGCAAATGATATTATTTAAGAGGTGTACTTGTGTGTGTGTGTGTTTAGATGTACTGCACTAAAGTTCAATTCAATATAGTAAAAGTAACAGTGCAGCACCCTATTGAGGGTCTATGTGAATCATCTGATTCATCAACAAGTACTGGGTACAGGATATTCAATGTAAGGTCCACGTACATTAAGCTGCGAGGTTATAGTCCAATACAAACTGTATAACATTGACAGGAACTCTGGCAGCTGATGCATAAAATTTGAGTACCATACATATCATATATGATCATTCTCCAATGACATATTTGTGGTAAGAAAGTCGATGCTTGGACAGTTCCCCACATATTACAACAGGACTGACATTTAGATAAGCTGCCAATCTGTCTCAGGCTCTAGCAAATATCCCATTCTCAAGCCATTATATCACTTTAATCAGTAGTAGACAAGTGTAATGATATTCACAACATCACATAATAATATCACACTACCATGCTCTAATTAGCCTACAGCAGAATGACTGCAGTAAGAATATGTGTACATGTACTACAGAATGACTACTGAGTATTCATGCTCCAATGATTCACATCAAGTAACACACTAACATACTACATATGTATACATCTGTATACATGTATTGATATATTACCAGTTGTAGAATGTACCTGATTTGCAATGCTCTTGTCCCTAATACTCTTGCCCGCTCATACTTAGTCATGTATGGTGTGGTTGTACGCTGCTCTGATGGTATGGCATGTTCTTCTTCGGCTGAAAAGACAAGGGATACAAATACAATTATTATTTTGGAAATGAATAGTTTACTTTGTGGGAGTATCTCAATGTTTTCCTCATTCTCGTTGTCTTCTTCTCCTTCTTCCTACAAAGAGAGAGAAAGAGAGAAAAGGGGAGAATGGAGGAAAGAGGAAAAGAGAGAGAAATAGATAAGGTTAAAGAGTATAGTAATCAAAGGCCCCAATACACATAGCTATCGACTCCTACTACTAGAGTCAACTACTACAAAATATTAATTAATAACATGCATATTTTAAAGAAAATGGTAAGTAGAAGCTATAACTAGTGTACAATGTAACAGAAATTTTGAGACAAGAAAGTTGCAATGCATCAGAGGTGTCCTTTATGTGGATGAGGTTATTTTATGAGGCAAGGAATGTAATTGTTAAGGTCCCTATACACCAGGCAATGCTATTGCAGGCAATCTGTGGTTACTTTGATCTTGAGGCAACACTGTAATGCCTAGAATAGAAACATGTTCTATTCTAGGCAACACATTGCTTACGACATCAAAGTAACCACACATTGCCTGCAATAGAATTGTCTGGTGTATAGTGGCCTTTACACTAGGTGCTTTCCATAATAGAGAGAGTGTCCATTAAGAGAGGTTTTCTACGGTATACACTGATTCAATTGAATTTAACGACAGTCCATGTATTAGACTGAGATTTAGCTCAAGGGTTAATCATGTTCTTCCGGTATGAACCCAGTTTCTCCCAGACGAGGACGCAACGCGCCATTAGTCATTAATTCCAGCGAGTTGGTGTGTCTGTCTGCGTTCGTTGAACAACTGATGAATTAGTAATAGAGGAGTAGGTAGAGCTGCATGCCAGAGCCGTTGGAGCATACAGTAATATGTTATGATGTATATTCCCATCACTGTAAACAGACACACCTGAATATTTACATGAAAGTATAATTATTAAAAAATTATATCCTTGTATGTATGTGTACATGTACATGTACATGTACATGTACATACGTAGGCTGGACAAGATCATGCACTGTTTTGGTATGTACACATAATGGCTCATGGTTGTAAATTACTTTTTAATTCATAAAACCAAAATTCTGAAAATACAATTCCATTTAAAGCTATGAAATGATGTATGGAACAAAAAGCTATAGACCCCAATTACAGAAAAATCCAATACAATTGGGATGCTCTTTGGAAGGTTCAATACTAATGTAAATATTGTGGTTTCAAGTATGCATAAACACAAAGCTCTTTGAATTTTAAAATGGGCTATTCCTAAAATCACTGATTATACTATGAATAATTCGTAAGATGGTGCAAATAGAGATTATATCATAAAATGACTCCCCTCACAGTCTCTAGAGACAATCATTATTAGTCTAATCTACAAAAAGAACAGCCAATGTTGATGTGTATTATGTATAGCCTGTGCAAATAGTCTAAATAAGTCTACAAAATCTACCAAAATTATCAAGTCTCTGCTAATAATCGTTCAATAAACTTAATAGCCTTGGGATATTACTAGATAGTTTATACTAATGGTCAATGGTATTTAATACAAAGTAAATATCATAACACAGGTACATAATATCAAATGATGACATCACTCAAACGCTATGTAAAAGTATAAAGAGCAGAGTACATCTACCAGTGCATTATCTGAATGCAAGAGTATGCAAATAAGGAGCATGTCTGCTTCCTTCAAGCATCACCTCACCATATAAATAGGTTAAGAAAGCTCTAGTCATTGAATGGAAGCCACTGTTTCTACTGATGGTAGTACCCTTTGCCACATACCAATGACATCAGAGCATTGCTAGATGATGAGCTATTTGTCGTGAACTCTGACGACAGGTGGAAGAGCTCACTGTAGTATTAGTAATTGAGCCGTTCGACTATGAAATGAGTTGATCCTACTCAAATGACAGTAATAAAAACAGCCCAGCATCTAGTAAAAGACATCAACAATTACTAGCAAAGGGGTCAGTAATGATAGCAATACAAACAAGGCTGAAGCCCCGCTTTTAAAATCATATTTTCATTTGGTATAAATTCACAAGGGGCACTGCTAAATTAATTAGAAGCTTAAGTGCAATGTTTGAGAGAATTGAGGTGAATTTTTTTCTCATGTACCATTACATTATGACTACAAAATGAAGTGTTTCTCAAATAATCATTAACGTCATATCCTACGGCTCAGTCAAACTGAAGGCTATTATGACTAGTTAGGAAAGCCATTAAACCAATTAAGTCAATCAACAGTTGATCAGTGATTCGCAATGTTGGTTAACTTGACCAACAATGGACTGCTTTGTTAAAAAGCAATTCAAATTTTCAAGAATAAACTATAAAATACGCGCATGTCCATGCACCATAATATTTGTTATGAGAGTAACTTAGAGTTTATGTATTTCATGACTAGTATTATTATGTCTTTGTTTGTTCCTTAGTGATTCAATGTTTATAATGACAGAATCGGGATACACATTACACATATAAACATCATAAATGCTGTACACATTCGGTAGCTTCCCAAAATAATACGTCCTTTTCTTGGGAAAGTTATCCACTGCTATCAAAATGTGCACTGATTTACAAACAAGTTGTTTGTTTTGACTTTTAGTCATTGTCAGGGAATGTGGTAGGTAAATCCTAACCTTGTATGAACTTTTTATTATACATCACAAAGGTGCATCACATGAGTAATTATCATCATTAATTCATTGTTATAGTTTGTTCACAATACTCGGAAAATATCAATATTAAAATGACAGTTTTGATTTTGATTAAGAGGATAAGGTTTGTGAACTCAGCAAGAGAGTACATGACCTGTATGTATATACCAATAATAGTGATACCACACAAAACTAGTGTGATTCATTATTCATACTCTGTATATTCATTGGGACTTACTCCAAGATCATCCATGTCATCCAATAGATCATCTTCTCCTCCACTAAAGTCATCAAACCTATTAAAAGACTATATGAAGCATTCTATTTATCATTACATGCATTATTATCTCTTACCCGTCATCCGCCATTTTGAACACGTTAATCAAAACCACGCCCTATCGACACACCCACCAGACTACTCCGTGAAAAGAAGGCGTGGCTTAGGTTTTGTTTCACACTTCAGATGGTGTCGAAAAAACCTCTAATTCGATAATATCCTCTTGATGGCGACTATAAAGCCGCCAGTCCCGCTCCTGAGGCTACCAGGCCTCTCTGTTGGTGATAACTCTCCTGATACAACGACAGAGACCGGTGAAGCGAGAGCTTTCAAGTTTGTATTCACTGATTGTCAAACCAAAGGGAAACACAGCCATCCACTTTCTCTCTCCATCCGATCGAAGGAACAGCAATCAGAGAAGATGACAGCAGCGGGTCCAGCCACTCTTATGTTACCAGGAGATCGCCGCCAGCCGGCTCTCACACCACCTCCATCCTCCCTCACACTCTCCCTCCCTCAATCCCCACAAATCAAGAGGTCCATTTCTGCACCGGGTCTCAAGGTTAGGCAGAGGGCTAGCCTTGGCCCGGGGTGCAGCATGATGGATTGGATTCGATTGTGCAAGAATACGCCCGACATGGCCGGTAATGGTGGAACACCTAGACCAGTGTCCAGGGAGGAGTTGGCACGCCATTGTACGGAAGACGATGCATGGACATGCTACAATGGTAAACCATTACCACAGATATTCCACTAATCTGCACACTTACACACACACCTTGTCTAGTGGAATGCAAAACACTATATAGGAGTGTTCGCTTTAACATATTGTCTCTTCTTTTAGGAAAAGTATACAACATTACAGCTTACTTTAGATTTCATCCTGGAGGAAAGGAAGATTTGATGAAAGCTGCTGGAAAGGACTGCACTATCCTCTTTGATGAAGTGAGTGTCTGCAAGATTGTTGTGATTGCAAGAGAGAGAGAAGGAGCCATAATCTAATAGACTGTGTGCTAATGCAGCAGTCATGTCCCAAACTGATTGCATTTAGCATATAATTATATATTAGCATAGTGGAGCAGTTGTTGGCATGCTCCTCTGCAGTACAAAGAGGAGCAATGCTGCCTAAAGATATCAGAGATTGTTTTGTTTGCAAATACTATTACTGGCTAACGTTTATAGGCTCACAAGTGGGTCAATATCCAGTCAATGCTTAAAAGGTGTTATGTTGGGGATTTGGCTGATACGTGTCCTTTTCATACAAATGATCTCACCAATGATGAGTTGTCTGCAAGAAGAGGCAGTTTCAGTAAGCCAGCCTTAACCATCACTGCATGATCCTTATCTCCTTATCACCTTTAGGAAGCAGATCTGGCTCAAGGACATTGTCTAACTTAAAGTTAGGAGTACCAGAGACCAAGATTATCATCAATGGCAAGTTGCATTGCTTGCATGCAAATCCTATATTTGTACATTAGCATTGCTGTTAGCATTGATATGATATTATTGTTCCTTTTCTTTGTTGCAGGAATGAACAGGCAAGCAGTAGCTAAAAGGGAGTCTGAATCAAGTGAAGATGCATTGGTTCACACTCCACAGAGTCCAGTCAATCCGCCTATTCACGTCGTTGAAGAGACTGACTCTTCGACTGCTGTCATTGTTATACCTCCGTCACCGATCAGGAAGAACTCTGATGCCTCTCGCCCTACAGTACCACGTTATGATTGGTATCAGACTGAGAAGAATCTCATGATTCACATATTCACTCATAACAAGGTAAATACTGCAGGCACATCTACATTCACACAATACAATATACAATGTATTATATTACATATTATTATTTTTATTTATTTTATTTTTTCATTTATAGAATTTGAAGGAGTCTGATATAGTTGCTGATCTCAATGGTCAAGTCTTAGAGGCGGAGATATTGATTGACAATTGGATATATCAACTTAAAATAAGTGAGTATATACACGTACATGATGATTTAATGATTTTTACGTCACATTTTCTTTCTAATTCATTTATTCGCCAGACCTCCTTCATTCTGTATCCGAATTACAAGGTAAATGAAGTCATAGTTTGTATTGGATATGATAATTAATACGATTGTGTTTATTTCATAACTTTGCTATGAATATGCATGCAGTAACCTATTCATGACCTGATACACGTATGAGTTAACTCACTCTCTCTTTTCCTAATAGTATCCATTCATTCCACTAAAGTGGAGATAAGGCTGACCAAAGTGACCGACATTCGCTGGGAGTCTGTTGGTACTTCAATGCCTGGGAATGACCAGATGGTTGCCAGCAGCAACAGAGGTTAGTTAGAAATGACTGTATATAGATACCCCACACATTTACGATACATGTATAGGTACATGTGCATGCATACAGCTATCTCTGTTTTATACAATAGAGGCCATTCGTGTGCTATGATTGTATATTTGTATCCTTGCTGTGTAACCTTTGTATCATTACTATAATAATAATATTATCCAACTTTACTCTTCATTGTTATTACTTAATAGTTAAGACTTATCGACCCTGCACAGTCAAGTCCATCGAAACCGTGACTCACGATACAAAGGTCTTCACCCTCTCTGTCCCTCCCTCCTCTCACTTGAGTGTACCTGTGGGACACCACGTCAGTCTTAGAGCTGGTGAAAAAGGTGAGGGCAACAATTAGGCTCTGATTAGCGACACTTGTCTCGTTAAATGTATACGTACATACATGTACATGGACTTATACCTTTAATTAGTGTCATCGTCATAGTTCATCAATATTTACCTTATACCTCCTCTCTCCTTTCTCCTCTCCTTTCCTCTCTCACCTCTCTCCCTCTCTCTCTCCTAACCAGGTCATGAAATAGAGAGGGACTATACTCCCATTAAATCATTTGGTTCTCCTTCTTCATCCTCCTCTATCAAGTTAATGATTAAACTCTACAGCGATGGAGCTATGTCCCAGTATCTATCAAAACTGAAAAAAGGTAACGAATCAGGTCTCATTAGACTAATCAAATGTACTTTAATTACTTCGCACTTGTGGTTAGCCTTCTTCCTTGCTTGTTCTAATTGAGGTTACTCTTTTTTTCTTGGCTTCACAGGTGATGCTCTCACAGTCAGTAACCCTTCAGGAACATTTGATGCCAACAGACTACAGTCAATCAAAGACTCTATACTCATTGCTGCTGGATCAGGTACGAAGATATACAAAATTAATAATCTTACATGTAATGGTCTATAATTGTAAATAATAAATTAAGTAATGTATTAATATTACATGTACTATTAATATGATTATTACTATTATTACTACTACTACTACTATTAATACTATTACTATTGTTATTATTATTATTGTTATTATTGTTATTATTGTATTAGGTGTTACTCCTATGTTTGGCCTATTACATGATCTGTTAAATCGTCCTTCATCATCTTCTGGTGACAAAGAGGAGCAGCCTTCCAAGCATCATCTTATTTTTGCCAACAAAACGGAAAAGGACATTATCTGGAGGAAGGAACTCGACAAGCTAGCAAAAGACAATAAAAAGTACTACTATTAATGAACAATTTACCATAATTATTCATTTTATCATTATTTTATAGTTTCAAAGTGACACACATTCTCTCGTCTCCCGACAAATCATGGAACGGATACAAAGGTCGAGTTACGCCAGAATTCCTCCAATCTCACCTTCCAGCTCCGTCATTCTTGGATAAACAGCAGCGCCTCATATGTGTCTGTGGGCCTCAGCCGTTTACAACAAGCGTATTGTCAGCTCTGTTAGAAATGGACTATCCCGAATCATGCATTCACGTTTTTGATTAAAGTCCAGGAACTCCGTCCCACAAACTCAATCATTATTTTTATCATTATTATTATTATTATTTATATCAGCACTCTATTTATTTTGTCATGCCACTGCATAAGCCATTCCTATTTAATATTGTTATTTTTGTTTTTTTTTTGTTTGTATTTATGGAGTCTATATATATATATATATAAAATTATCATTGCCGTATATTGTTGTTTTGTAATGATTGTTATTTTTTATTTATCAATTTCAATTTAGTGATAGGTTCCATGTAAGTATTATGATATTCTCCCCCCCCCCCTCAATATAATAATAATAATAATCATACAAATAACACTGATATATATATACATACATATATATTGCTTTGAATGACTTGAGAGTTATACAGTGCTAGCTTAAAATATCATCAGCATCAATGATGAGAACAGGCTGTGATTGATCTGAAGTAACCTCTATGTTCTCATCCTCAATAGTCTCATCCGGTGGAAGGTTTTCCGAGTGAATTAAAGAGAGAAAGTCTTTAGGATCAGTGTCATGTACATCAGTTTCTGTACGCTGAGTAGTAGTTGGTGATTTAGGTACTACTGGTGATTCAGGTACTACTAGTGATTCAGGTGCTATTGGTGAATCAGGTATTACTCGTGATTCAGATATTACTGGTGGTTCAGATATTACTGGTGAATCAGGTTTTACTGGTGATTCAGGTTTTACTGGTGATTCAGGTATTACTGGTAGTTCTGTCATTACTGGTGAGTCTGCTGATTCATTTTGTGGCTCTGTTGAGTGATGATCATTAGTTCTAGCCAGTGATTGTATTAGCTCTTGGATTGCTAGTCTTTTTCGTAATATCTTCTCATCCAGTGCCCATTCATCTCCCTCTGGCAATGACTTGTTTGACTTTATGCACTATAGTAAGGAGAAGAAAAGTATGGGAGAAGGAATTGATAGTTGGTTATACATGGATAAATGTACATGAAATCATTAGTACACTACTGATTGAATAAATGAGATCTATTGACTTATTTGAGTAGGACAAAAATATACTCTAATTCAATTATACTCAAGCAGCACACTCAACCCACAACAGTGCATATAATAATAATAGTAGTAAAATCACACCATAAATATTATTATTATTACTATTATGAGTCATGTACCGTTACTACAGGAGTGTATTACATGATATAATAATACTGTGTAATGTGTATTGGTTAAGTGGTTATATACCACGTACATTACCTCAAACAAGCTCTCAGTATAAGTCAATAGATACACACCACAGTCGTATGTATTCGTTTGGCCAGGAGCCTATAACAACAAGAGAATCATATCATCATTGTACATGTAACTATACTGCATGGACTGATGTATAATAATAATAATAGTCCAACTCACTGGTGGGTATGATACTGGTAACTTGCTAAAGTCTCTCTCTTCTCCATATTTACCCAAATACTCTTGAGCAAGATAACTATAATACACACACACACACACACACACAACATAATAAAGAGGTACATTTAATATGTAAAATTTGAGAGATGCCAGGGGTGTAGTGAGGGTATGGAGGCTTGCCAAAATTAAAAAGATAATTTGGCATCTCCATAATACATATGTAGGCTTGATAATAATTAAATTCGTAATGATAATAATTCCTTCACGTTAACAGTTGTACATTATAATAAGATCAACGCATGCCATTGTGATCATAGGGTGAAATCCCTTACCATCTTAAACTAGAAACTACACCCCTTCGCCTTACAAGCATAGAGTCTAGGACAACAATGGAAGGCCTAGAAAAAAAGAGAGAGGGGGGGGGAGAGAGAGGGAGGAAAGAGAGAGAGAGAGAGAAAAAAGGAAAGAGGATATGAAAGAAAGTCGAAAGGTGAATGAAGGAGAGGGCAGTGAGTGCAGGAAAGAGAGTAAGGAAGAAGGAAGGAATTGAAGGAATATACAGTATACATATAGCCCAAAAGGTAAACAAACACTCACTCCAACTCAGTGTCCTCTTCCTTCATAAACGAATCAGGTGAGACTATAATAGCTAAAAACCAATGTGACCTACAACAAACAAAAAATACACGCAGCAAAAACACCAATGTACATGTATACATGTCTTTAGTACATGTGTGTACATATACATGTACATGTATATACAACACTAATAGACACACACACAGACAGACAGACAGACAATCAGCATTGTACTACAATTACGTAAGCTGGATGGGAGATGTCATTACATGCAATGTTTGTCCTTGAGTCAATGATGCACTCTTTGTCTGTTGTCAATAAGTAAACTAGTCTACTGACCTGTAGCAGACCGGTACCACAATGAACTTCTTCTCAAATATATTAATGTGCTTAGTCCAGGACTTGACTCTGAAGTGAATGCGTTCGGGGGTCTTTGAAGACCTGATAATAGTTTGTAATTTAAATTAGTCCAAGAAATTCATTTTTAGCAATAGTAATAGTAATGATAGTAGCAATTATGATGATGCGATAATAGTACAATGAAGGTATTTGTACTTTGAAGGGTCTTTGGTTCCATCAGTCAAACGACTGAAAAAGAATGAGTTAAATATATGAACTTGATTAGCTTTCTCTTCTAAAGTGTCCCATAAATACCTGGAGAAGAAAGAGGGAGAGAGAGGGAGAGAGAGAGAGAGAGAGAGAGAGAGAGAGAGAGAGAGAGAGAAGAGAAGATTGATTAAAGAAAGGTCAAAATAGAGGAAATTAAGAAGAGGTGATAATTAAGGTCGTGAGAAAGACAGTGCTAATGGTGTGTTCTTGACAAACACGAGGAGCTGTTTACTAACATTAAATAAAAGTTAATGATTTTATCATTGAGGTATTCCCCAATCTGGAGACACTGCATATCAAGTCCAGTGATTGAGAGAACAGTGTTACTTTGCTTTGGCTTATAAGTTAAAACACTAGAAGAAATAGAGGGAGAACAATGATAAAATAAAACAAAACAAGAACAAAAAATACTGCATGTATAGATAAGATATACATTGTTAGATCTAGAGAGAGTTTAGGAGGCTTTTGATCAACAGAAATCTCACATTTTCAGCCTCAAAGTCTCCTATTTTTAGTTAGATTGATCCTACATCTATATCTAGCAATAAATATACAGTATAATACTTACACAGCGTCATTGGGTATTGAGAGACGAGGTACAGGATAGAGAGGAGATAAAATGGATGATGATGGCGTACATGTAGAAGTGTCTGTGAGTCTTAGAGACCGTCTTCTCAAAGGTTTATCGTCAATCATGACATCGTTGATATCAAGGGTGTCGCCTGTTACTATAAATAGTGACATGGTTACTATAAATAGTAACTCAATGATATACATTACCTGGGTGATTTCGAGCTATCTTTTGCAAAAGTTCTTCAACGTCTGATGGTCTATGAAATAAATTAATCAATTATTAATATTAAAATCACAGCAGGTCTACTACATGTACTGTGATTTAACAGAGAATGCATGAAAAATCGTTATTTTAATCAATATAATTCTTACTTAATCTTCTTCAGTTTATCCAGACCATCAAAAACCTATAGAATAATAAAAAAGGCAATCACTAGTTACAGTCCATTAACGACACACACTAAAATCATAACAACCCAGGGCTATCATTGTTCTCATACTCAATACCACACGTGACTGCAAAATTAGCCAATACATGTATAAGAATCATAAAGTATATACACAAAAGACAAAATTTCTCACTAAAAAGCCAATTGATTAAATTTTTATAAGAAAATCAGGGCTTGTGTACAAAATGTGCATACACTCACCCATTCAAAAATTTGATGAAATGGGTTCATTGTTTTGTATCAACATATTAGGGACTGGAGGAGTTTATAAATGCATGGAACCTGACAAGGCAATCATGGGTTGTCCTACTGTCATATTTCACAATTAACACATTGCCTTAAATATACTCATACGATACAACTGTACAAATTACAAAATAATAAATAATTATCACTGCAATGTATTACAAATATGATATGATTTTTTACATAATAAGACGTAATCCAGTGACTAAGCACATGTGCAGGTTAGCACTGGACGTTGTGTACATGTATATAAGAATTCTGTGTACGCATCACATGCTAACGTTATACTGTGGATAGAGTACATGACCTTTCTGTATGCACACACACGATGGAAGCGTTGAGAATAAATTGGTTGCTTACCCTCTCAAAATTATCAATGGTGATCTTGTCGGGCTTGGACTTCAATTTAATAACAATGTATAAATCTGAAAATAAATAATAACAAATAATAATAATAATAATAATAATAATAATAATAATAATAATAATAATAATAATAATAATAATAATAATAATAATAATAATAATAATAATACGAATTCACTGTACAAATATGTACCATCAATATTCCAGAATTTGTAGGCATTCAGTTTCGACTCCAACTTGACAACTTCTCTCTTATATATGGTGCTAGGGAGATGTATAACAATGGCCATTGGGGGGGACGAGAAGCAATAACAGATGGACTGCATTTCAGAGTACTTCAGGTAAATATTAGCAGAGAATGTTCGATACTCAACTATAATGGTCATCATTTCAGGCTCGAGCTATAGGTAAATAAAATATGAAGAATATTTAAAACATTAATGTGTTAATTATTCTTCATATAATGTCACAATAACTCTTCACTCAATATTCCCAATATTCTCCTCTCTTTCTGCATTTCTTTTACTCTCTCCCTCCCTCCCTCTCTCCCTCCCTCTCTCTCTCAGACTATAGTGTACCTCCACTTGTATAGGAAGTGTAGACAAGGATCCAATCAAAATTTGAGACACAAATGCATGTATATCAACACAGTCCCAGTCATAGCCAGTGGAGAGAGTAGGAGCAGATGATGCCGCAGAACGGAGCGAATAACGAGTAGATTGAGATGGTGTCTAAAGTGAAGGAGAAGGGGGTCAGGTACATTGTATAATGCGTATAGTGCACTGTATCATTTGTACCTGATTTACAATCTGAACACACTCTTCCTCATCCAGACATACAGGGTCTAGAAAAAAGTGAAAGAAAAATAGATATAAAACTAGAGATAAAACTTTATAGAACAGACACAAGATATACATATATATATATGTTTTTCATGAAGTGTAATGCTATCCATACAATTGTTATGGAGTGTGCATGCGGCCACATGGAATTACTATCAAGGGAAGATCCTGGTTTGACTTGGGATTCAGATCCTTTACTGTTTCCTCCGTAAAAGGATAGCCTTGGACTAGAACCACCTAATAAGATAATTAAATCATGAATCACACCAAATACTACACAATCAGGGTTTCCCACAAAGCATGTTAAAAAGAGCAGAATAGCATTAAGTATGTTTCATGGGCTGACAAGCACTACAATACTAGTACATGGCAAAAAATCAAATTTGATCGGGATCAGTTCACACTTTTTCTACACAACATAAGTACATGTATATGCATCAGAAAAAATTATAAAAATAGAAATTCTCTCCAAGTGATTTTTGTCAAGATACCCTGTACTATAGTACAGGGTCTTTGATCCAATTTTTTTAGCAACTTGGCATCCACTGATATGAGGACTATACCAAAATCCTGTCAAAAACATCGAGTATAGTGTTTTTCAAATAATTAGAGTAACTTAGTACAAGGCACATTAGGACAACACAACAACAGTAATAAAACACTCTTCTTACTCTTCTTCTTCAACTGGCTACCTTTATTGCTGCTACCTTTTGCCACTCTCCTAGTAACATTAAAGATTACATGGACCAGTACATATGAAATGTCCTCTATCAATTACTTTTTCTTAGTACTAGGTGTATATGTCTTATCCGGCTCAAAATCATCATCATCATCATCATCAGAGAGGTGACATATCTGCTGTCTTCTCACTTCCTTCTTCTTATTAGCTTCATTGATTGTATTCTTCATTAGCTCCTCCCCGCCTATATTGGCTTTTTTGAATCTATTGATGTGAGGAGCCTTTAGGTGACTGATATTGACTTTCCTCCCATTACTCCTAGTCCTAAAGCAGTAGTAGCATATTATAGTACATATAAAGAATAGTTCATGACTCTGCTAGCTATAATAAAGTACACAGGGACTCAAGAAGATTATACAATGGATTGTAACTGTATAGAACATACATAGTACAACTCAATATTAAATACAGTACTTGTAGACACATGCAGGTCATACAGTATGTTACTCAATAGCAGGATTATAGTACTACACCGACTGACAAATAAGTACCTTGCTGTCCTTGAACTTATCCATGATGGTTTTGGTAAAGACAGTTGTCCAAAATTCATTTCTCCAACTTTAATAGTAGTGGGACCAACAGGTCTAGCGATAGCTGGTCCATGAACAAGTGGATCAGGAGGTATAGAGCTTGATGAGGATCCAGTCTCACCATCATCTTCTATTACTTCATCTTCTTCTCTTCGTATTCTTAGATTTGATGGCAGAGTCCCTTTTCTCCTCTTGAAGGAAGGGAATGATTTTCTAGAGAATTCCTAAAGGAACAATAAGATGAGGTAAGACACATTGAGCACTTCAGACATTGGAGCAATCAACGCCCTCAAATCAAGGGAGCAGTGAAGCTTTCAAGCTCCCCCATTGTGTGCATTATAAGACCACACAATAAGATCACAGGAAATTATCCAATGCCAGATATGGCAATGGAATATTAGCATCATCATGCACTCTTGGCACATGTACTATACATGGAAATGCTGTAGGGAAATAATAAGAATAAAAACCATTTTATTTTAACAAATTACATACATGTACATGTGTGTGTGACATGAATCTAATCAATATTGTACTGGCAGTTATTAATAAAATTAACATCCATGCCTTGCTCCTATTATATACATGTATCGTAACATGTACACAATAATTGAGTTATTGTATCGATTGGCTTGCAACTGCTAGCATTATGACAACAATGAGCAGTAACAGGTCAAACTTAATGGAATTAGTAAAGCTCCAGTATCAACTGGCCAGCATCAACAAACAATAGGTTAATGCATTTATGTACAAAATGATAAACTGCCAAAACATGAGCAGCGCCAGGTACATGTAGATCTCACTGCCAATATATACTTATTCCAGTAAATGGGGGAGAAGCTAATGAAAATGAAAAAGGGAATAAAGGAAGTGTTATATCACTGATAAAGGACAAAGGGTATACTATACTAGAGTGGTAGTACATACGGGACTATGACTCACTCCCACAGGTACTGACTCTCAGTTAGTAGTATACGCCCACAACATTCACAAGTATCGCATAAGGACATCCTATACGCCCACATAGACACACTCACTGGATCCACACGCAAACAAACAAATAAATACTGAAACAAAGCCAAAGATTATAAGGCACATTTAAAGCAATGATTGTAAACAATGGAGACTGGCCCAATAATAATGATAATAACAAAAATGCAATAAACCGTTGTGATATTTTTTGTTCACGATAAAACATGCAATCTTGTTGTATCTGTATAGCTGAAATTGGCAGGAATTATAATTTGGTGCTTTTGTAAAAGTAGTAATTTTGCAGGTGATGATTCATGTTCAAAGTATAACAAAATGATGGTTTTTATTTTCATCCAATGCCAAACCATCGATGTTATAAATCCCTTCTGGTATAACAATGGAAACGAATGAATGTAAAAGGGGAAAGTACTAACGACTAAAAATGTATTCCAAGACAACAAACTCAATACATAAAAGTGTACACACTCGTCCTATTGATCCCTATCTTATCAAACCAGTCTAGTACAATTATGTGGTGGGCTCACTCAAGCCTTAGGAATGAAGCTACAGTAAATATTTTATGTGTATTTCCTATAGCGACAAACTGTCTCAAAAGAGAAGGAGTACATTCACGGAAGAATGAAGGTGGAAACTGTACAAATCCTTAAATGTTCTGATCTAATCTCACCTGAATAAGGCATTAACCTTTAAACTGTACATTAGCAATAGGCTGGCTGGACTGTGCATAAAGAAATCCCCTTTGCTGTTTATGTGGACAATTTAATGTGATATTTTCTTATAAAGCTCAAGCTTGTCGTCAAACAGACTTTGCATAAAGAAATCCCCTTTGCTGTTTATGTGGACACACTAATCCAGTTACTGGAGGCTCAGAAAGTCTGTTTGACGACAAGCTCAAGTTTATATAAAAATATCACATTAAATTGTGTTAAGATAAAATTCACAGGTACGCATTGGATGTCAAGAATCCAAAGACTTGGAATTTTAGTAATAGCCAAAATGATGGAAGGTGTCATCGAATGATACTCCACACGTGTGAGGAGGGCCAGGTGATGGAATCAACAGTAATCAACACTTTTGCCTGAAATATTTATGCGTCTCCATGCATCTCCATGACAGCAAGTAAAATAATGAAATTAATATCAATTAATATTGAATATGTTTAACACGTACATGTATTAAATATTAAACTCTTATACAATGTATGCCACTGTACTCGTGCATATTTGTGCTATTATCATCACCATGGTTAATCATCATACCCCATTAATAAAAGTATATCAGAATACACATTAATATGACAAATTTAAACTAAATTTGCATAATCAGACATTAAACGAAGGCCCTAGTGTAACTATAAAAAATAAATAGCATTCTATTGTTGAAGTACCCACAGAGTAACATCGATTGTTATTGTTACCTCTGGTTTCTTGTGTTTGTCATAATCTCCATCACAAGACACATCTTCAGAAACATCTAATATTACATCAAAATCACTAGAATATCCACGGGATCGCTTTGTTGAACTATCCAACTCTAAAATAGAGGGTATAGTATCACAGGCACATCAAGAGAAACTTAATAAAAATTTTAAAACCTTTTTTATCTTCTGCACCTCTTTTCGCCATTTTCTTTTAAGGTGTGGTTTGTCACGCCCACACCCAAACACTGGGTGTGGTTCATTATTAAATGGCGGACGGTGGACCTGAGGCAAGAGGAGGCATTGGAGACTCTTTGGTTGATGCTTTACCCTATATTGATAAAGAATATGATGACCCTGGTCTAAAAGATGCTGTAAGATTATAAAAAAGGAATGCAGGCCTATTTCAAGGCCAATAAATTGTATTTACTAACAAATTAATTTCTAGTTTTATTAAGTTCAATCACACTTGATTTGACTATATATGTGTATTTAGATAAATGGTGGCTGTATATAGCTAGTGTGTGGTATCTGTTTTAAAAACGTGCCTAATTTTTAATTAAAATTTATTATTTTAAGTTAAGATTAAATTTTATTGGCATCTAGCAAAGCAATTTATAAATTCTTGATTTGATATATTTAATACAATTTTAATGCATTATTAGGCATTACAGTTGATCGATGAAGAGACTAAGAGATACAGACCTACTAAGAACTACATTGACTATCTACCAGTACCTCGTGAATCATTTGAATCACCACTACTGAAGATTGAGATGGATAGACTAGCTTCACGCCAACCAATGGAAACTTTAAGTATGAAAAGGTAATAAGATACAGTGCAACAAAACAACTTAATAGGATGTACATGTATAGCTGACATAATTATTAATAAACATTTATTTTTGTCCATTCAACTGATTGCAATATTTTTTATCTTATGTGAGATGCTATTACAGTGTAGTTTCTTAGTGTTTAATACTCTAGTACTGATACTTTGTTCTAATGTTCTGTAGATATGAGTTACCTCAGCCAAGTGCTGCTCAGAAGAATGATGTAGGAGCATGGCAAGACTCTGTTAGTAATTCATGTGCTCAGTTGGAACATCAAAATGAAAGGTTCATTGTTTGACCATTGACTGTATGTACATGTACTGTATGTAGTTAAGGCTGGCATTTCATCAAAAATGGGTAGGAGAGAATTCTGCACTTTTATAATTTTTTTCTGATACATATACTTGTTCTTATGTTATTTATCAAGTTTGAAATGATTCAGATCAAAATTAGATTTTTTACGAATTTTAAAATTTGCTCAAGAATCAAATCAAAGTCCCTGTACAGGGCCCTGTACAGTACAGGGCCACTAGCCAAATTTTGCCAAAAATGGGTAGGAGAGAATTCTGCACTTTTATAATTTTTTTCTGATACATATACTTGTTCTTATGTTATTTATCAAGTTTGAAATGATTGCGATCAAAATTAGATTTTTTTAATGAATTTTTAAAGTTTCTCAAAAATCAAGTCAAAGTCCCTGTACTGTAGTACAGGGCCGCTAGCCAAATTTTGCCAAAAATGGGTAGGAGAGAATTCTGCACTTTTATAATTTTTTCATGCCCTTATGTTATTTATCAAGTTTGAGGTGATTTCGATCAAAATTGGAATTTAAAAAACTTTTTTAAGTTGCTCCAAAAATTTGGCCGAATAATAAATTCTCTTTGGGTCATTTCTATGAAAGATTATGGAGGGACATAATTTTGCTACTTTACTTTGCATAGGATTGTAAATTTGGAGTTGCTATCACAGTATGGCAGTAATGAATGGAGACTACACAATGAGTAAGTGCATAAATACACTAGCTACTATATTATACGTTACTTATAACAAAGAATGCATTCAGACCTAATGAGTTGTAGTAGCATGATCTACGTGTACTTTCTTAATTTTTGTGATAGGCTTATGTCTCGTATGGTTGATCGCGAAACTAAAGAACTTCGATCGCTAAAGTATGTCTCCATGTAGAGTGGGCAGTGTTTAATTGTTGGTATAGAAACCAAGTACAGGAAGTGAACTGGCAGAGGAAGACTGAGCAGACTAATGTTGGTACACAATTAGAGGAATTGAATAACCAGTTAGTTCTTAATCACGAATTATTATCTTGTTTTTTCTTACTTCTTACTAGCTGGATGACGTTAGTTTATAGAAATTTTGAAATTGAGAGAGAATGTTTAAAAGTTCAGAGAGAAAATGAATTTTTGAAAAGGAAAGCTGAAGAAAGACAAGGACAACAACAGCAAGACGATGAGTCTTGATTGGAACACTGTACTTGAACTAAGACCATTAGCAGACCCAATTTTGTTTGGTTTAACTATTGTCTACGTACATGTAGCTTTACAAATTATCAAGATTAAACAAATTGTGATGTTAATAAATTAAATTAAGTCACTAATAAGGATACGTAAAATGTTTATAAGTTTAATAATGTCATTTTGATAGCAGAGTCTTAGCAACATCATCAATCATTTGAGGATTATCCAAGTAATACATTTGAGTATTGTACAGCATCTCAATGAGTTTTGCTGGATCAGAGCAATCCAGTGGTACATCTTCAGCTAGAGGAGGCGTCAAACGAAAGTATGGACAACCAAAGGCATCACAAAAGGACTGAGCACGAATGATTTCTTGTCCATCAGACTGCATTACCTCATTCAAAAAATGCTGTGTGAGGTTCCCAAGAGCTTGAAGATTTTTTGTAACGTTCTTGAATATGGAGGATGGATTTGGCAGGAAAATTTCCACATCACCAATTTCTTGTGGTTTGGTAGCACCAGTGCCAATAGACACCACACACCCAAAATCAACACACATCCCCTCTTTCTTTACTTGCTGGATAATTTCAGCCATGCTATCAACTGTAGGATTATTGCAGATCAGGCCACCATCAAGAAGCTTCAAGTCATCAAGTAAAGGGAAATAAGTAGGGGCAGCAGTACTAACACGACATGATTCCCATACCTTACGCTCTGTTGGGCCTGCTAGTCCATCTCTTGGTTCACCATAACTTGTTAATAAGTGAAGCTTATAAGGACTGACATTTCCCAGTGCTGATGTAACAATCACACGACAATCTATGTCCAGATCAGCCATTACTCTTTCCTTTGTGAATATATCCTGAAGGAATCTATCCATTCGTTCACCTCTTTCTGGGAAAGGCCCACCAAACACATTCACAGCCCCACGATGGACAATAGCACGACCACTGTACCCATCAACTTTCAAATATGGTAAAGCACAAGCTGCAATCCCACCTGAACTTGTACCAGCTACGTAATCAAAGTAATGATATAAATTCTTGGCTTTGGGATCAAGCTGCATTATTCGTTCTTCAATGTTGATGAGTGCGTTAGTGACATTAAATGCTCGTACACCACCTCCGTCCACACTGAGGAGAAAGGCCCCAGAGCTGCCGCTGTTTTTAGGTGGAACGTCAGGATGCTCAGCAAAGTATTCGTGGGATTTAGCTTGCAATTCAACAGCTTTAGTTAAAGCCTTTTCAATTTGAGCAAGTTCTGGACCAGATGCAGTCCTTTCACTGCTAGATGCTAAACTGAAGACGTGTGCCACTGCATCCATGAAGCTAGGGGTCAATGATAGTTCACTACTCATTTCACGTGCTACATCAATAGGTGTCTTGCCAAGTTTATTAGTAATCAATGGATCAGCATTACAGGCAAGGAGCCCTTTGACAAGGACTACATTTCCAGTACAAGTGGCAATGTGAAGAGGAGTGTCACCTGTTGTTTGATCCTGTGAGTCAGGGCTGCTCCCAAACAGGAGGAGACTAAATGCTGTCTTCAGGTAATTTAACTCAGCAGCTTTTATCAATGGGCTCTTACCATCCTCATCAAAATAATCATAGAGAACACTACTGGTCAATCTTCTCAATAGTCGAGGTTTTGAACCCACTGGGGGTGTTGGTGTTGTCCTTTCCACACGACAACCTCTGGAGACAAATATTTCCCATAATTGCTCTGAGACTTCATCATCGTCTACTTTCCAATCAAAACGAACAGAACATTTAGTAAAGGTAGCCATGATAGCTAAAGGAAGTAGAACTTAGAAGCCTTATATCTAATTATCTAATATCTTGAAGGAAGGAAGCAAAGGAAGTTATATCTTAAATAGGAAGTACAGACTTTTAATTATGATGAGTCCATTTCCTCCTGTTGGAGTTGGAAGCTGTGTCATATATCCTCTGGCTCCTTTCAGGAGCATTTGTTTTATAAATATCTGAGTACTAGACTACCAAAATTATTCATGGCATTAATTTTTGGCTGCATGCTGAAAGAATAGCAATTGCTGTCACAGCGAAAATAATGCACACAATGATAGATATCTACTGTTTTGCAACAAAATCAATTGGTCCAAAATGCAGAGTAATGTCATTTCGATAGCAGAGTCTTAGCAACATCATCAATCATTTGAGGATTATCCAAGTAATACATTTGAGTGTTGTACAGCATCTCAATGAGTTTTGTTTGATCAGAGCAATCCAGTTCTACGTCTTCAGCTAGAGGAGGCGTCAAACGAAAGTATGGACAACCAAAGGCATCACAGAAGGATTGAGCACGAATGATTTCTTGCCCGTCGGATTGCACTACCTCATTCAAAAAATGCTGTGTGAGGTTTCCAATAGCTTGAAGATTTTTTGTAAGATTCATAAATATAGAGGTTGCATTTGGCAGAAATAGCTCGACATCACCAGTTTGTTTTATTGGACTGATACCAGTGCCAATAGACACCACACATCCAAAATCAACAAGTTTCCCCTCTTTTTTCCCTTGCTGGATAATTTCAGCCATGCTATCAACTGTAGGGTTATTGCAGATCAGGCCACCATCAAGAAGCTTCAAGTCATTAAGCAAAGGGAAATAAGTAGGGGCAGCAGTACTAACACGACATGATTCCCATACCTTGCGCTCTGTTGGGCCTGCTAGTCCATCTCTTGGTTCACCATAACTTGTTAATAAGTGAAGCTTATAAGGACTCACATTTCCCAGTGCTGATGTAACAATCACACGACAATCAATGTCCAGATCAGCCATTACTCTTTCCTTTGTGAATATATCCTGAAGGAATCTATCCATTCGTTCACCTCTTTCTGGGAAAGGCCCACCAAACACATTCACAGCCCCACGATGAACAATAGCACGACCACTGTACCCATCAACTTTCAAATACGGTAAAGCACAAGCTCCAACCCCACCTGAACTTGTACCAGCTATGTAATCAAAGTAATGGTACAAGTTCTTGCCACTGGGATCAAGCTGCATTATTCGTTCTTCAATGTTGATGAGTGCGTTAGTGACATTAAATGCTCGTACACCACCTCCATCAACACTGAGGAGAAAGGCCCCAGAGCTGCCATTGTTTTTAGGTAGAGTCTCAGGATGCTCAGCGAAGTAATCACGAGATTTAGCTTGCAATTCAACAGCTTTAATTAAAGCTTCTTTAATTTGAGCAAGCTCTGGACCAGATGCTGTCCTTTCACTGCTAGAGGCTAAACTGAAAACATGTGCCACTGCATCCATGAAGCTAGGAGTTGATGATAATTCATTACTCATTTCACATGCTACATCAATGGGTGTCTTGCCAAGTTTATTAGTAATCAATGGATCAGCATTACAGGCAATGAGCCCTTTGACAAGGACTACATTCCCAGTACGAGTGGCAATGTGAAGAGGAGTGTCACCTGTTGTTTGGTTCTGTGAGTCAGGGCTGCTACCAAACAGGAGAAGACTAAATGCTGTCTTCAGGTAGTTTAACTCAGCAGCTTTTATCAATGGGCTCTTGCCACCTTCATCAAAATGATCAAAGAGAACACTTTTCCTTTTAACAAGTCGAGGTCTTTTTGTAGCCTTTTTATTCTCACGCACAAACTCAACAGAACAACCTCTGGAGACAAATATTTTCCACAATTGCTCTGTAACTTCATCGTCGTCTACTTCCCAATCAAAATGAACAACAGCTTGACTTGTATAGGTAGCCATGAAGATGAGGAAACATAAAATTGGCTCCAGCACACAAGAAGTCTGAGTACTGTTTGCTTGTTCAGGCAAGTTGTGTTATAACAAGTGATGGCAAGGAAGAATATCGTGACATAAATCATCAAATCAACAATAATTAGTTGATATAACGATTTTATATTTTTAAGTCATACAAATTCAAAATAATGCATGGATAGTACAACTAGGTAAGTGCTTCTCATCACTGCTTAAGTTTAATATAATAAATACAGCAAGAGTATTCTTGAATAGTTTGTAATAATAAGTTATGAACTATCTCTTAATGACACTGTTACTTTCCTGCAGGGAATACAATGTGTCCATCAGTGTATCTAATTCTTCTCTGAACTTATCAATTTGTTTATTCTTCTCAGACAACTGGCGCCTGTATTTGAGCTAAAAACCCAATAATAACTATTATTAAAGTAGCAATAAATGATCCCCCATACTTCAAGTTGCTTCAACTGTTCTTGTGGGACTAGACCAGATTTGTCTGCAGTCTCTTGCAGTCTTTTCTCATACTCACTTAACCTAATGCATTGATAAATAAAAGAGCACATGAATGAAGTATAGATACTGTACTTGTTTTCCAGGTGACTTATCTTTGCTAGAAGTGAGTTAAAATGATGCATTTCCTAAAACAAAACATTTAGATAAAGGATAAATGTAATTGAAAAAAGGTTATCGAAAAAAGGCTCAGTAGAGAATATACATCATGCAAAATGCAATGACACTCACTGGTGTATGGTGTTTCTTAGACTCTTCAAGTTCACTAGTTAACAATTCAACTTGACTCCTTAGTTCTTCCTCCAGTGACTTGGTTACTGCCACTGCTTCCTCGTCAACTCTCAGTATTTCTATTTCTTGCTCTAACTGTTTGATCCTTGCTTCACGTGAAGCTAGACGAGTCTTTAAACGGGCAAGGTTAGAGTCGGAGCGCTCTTGAACAAGATTAGCCACAAGACTGTCCATTTTCTCAGAATATGCTTTCTCTATTTTTTTAATCTTGTGTTCCCACTTTTCTTTGGTTTTCCTTCTCTCTCCCTCAGCTTGAGCAGCCAGTCCTTCCAACTGGAGTCTCTGATGCTTTATTTCTAGTGTCAGTTTTGAAACCTGTGTACATACACAGACACAAACACATATACATTGTACATCAGGTTTTTCCCACAAAGCAAGCTAAGTGAGCTAAACAGCATGCTTTATGAGCTGACAAGCACTACAATACAATATATTGAATTAACTGATATATACATTACCTGCTCTTTTAGTTGTGTATTTTCTGATTTCAATGTCTTCTCCTCAGTCGATACACTGCTTTCTCTTGTTGCTCCTCTTGAGTCCGACTTGGCTTGAGCTGCTACTAGTGACACTTGATTCTTTAATGAATCAATTTGCTCCTCATAAAGACACTAAAAATAAGAATATTATCAAATACATGACAGTACATCAAATTAGTAAATAATAATAAAGATACATTATGATTTATGACAAAGTATATAAATACCACACTATATCTTAATACATTTGCATTATTCCTTACCTCCATTTCCTCAAACTGCTTTTTCATTTCTTCCATCTTTCTTGTCACTTCTTCCTCCCTTGCTCCCAGTTCTCCTTCCAGTCTCTGTACTTTACTCTCTAAGTAAGACACAATCCCTTCTGATGGCTCCTTCCTCTCTGCCTCATTATTAGTAGCATAGATCAGTGCTGGTATGGAGTTAGGGTGTCTCTTCTTTAATGCTAACTGAAGCTCATTAACTTGATGCTCTAATTCCTTGATACGCTTTGAATCAGCGACTGCACGAGACTTAATCAAACGAGGACCTCCTCCTCCTCCTCCTCCTCCTCCTCCTCTTGCTCCTCCTCCTCCTCCTCCTCTCACTCCCTTTTGATATGTATAGCTATCATCTTTCTTTTGCTATAGTAGAAATATAATTTATACCGTAAAACAGGTGCAATCATTACTATGCGTGTTAAATGAGACCATACTGTGACTATCAATGTATTATTATGCACTACTTCATTTCTAAGTGTGTGGATTCCCAGTGTATTAAGAGCATACGAAGTCTTACTTGTTGTTTTGTTGCTGTCATTGAGTCTTTAATAGATTTCAGTTCGGCATCTTTTTCTTGAAGCAATGCTTCACTCTGCCTTCTTAAACTATCATAATCCTCCTTTGCTGTTTTGAGTTTCATTTGTAACTGACTCACCTAATCAAAGACCCAATAACTGAATGTGTTGAGTGACATATTCATACATGTACATATGACAATAAAAGTAGCAATACAACACTTCATGTAATTTGTATGTACAGTAGATAAAATTTACCTCTCTATCATATGTATCTTTTATTTCATTAATTAGTGTCCCTTCAACAGAATCGTGCTTCTCTATCTGTACTGCTAGTAGCTGTTCCTCCAATCCTTTATTGGCAGCAATGACCTCTTCTAACTGACCTGTTAAATGTATTAATATATTCTAAATTTCTAATTGGACTATTCAAATACATTACATGTACATGTATTTATGCCATGTACACATGTACATGTACATGTACATGCACAGTATAGTTTTATTTTGAAAGTTACATACATTGTAGTTTCTGACAGTTATCTACAGATTCTTCTAATTTCTTTCTAATATTGATATCATCATCATTGTTAGTGTCAGTGTGTAGTTTATATGAATATGATTCAATCTGTTGCCTCAGGTGTCTAATCACCTGATCCTGGCCATCATGCTTAGCTCTGTAACATCAAAATTAAATTAAATGTAAAACAAATACAAAAATATAAATAAATGTAAATGTACCTCATGTTTGCTAGTTCAGTTGCTAGTTTGTTGTTGTCTTCAAGTAACTGTGCTTTAGTAGATTTAAACTCTTTACTTGTTAGTGTCAATTCAGCATACAAACGCTCGTTTTCCTATGTGTACATTACATACTGTACATGACATTATTATGATCAAAACTAGATTTTGGAAGTTCTCCATTAAAGAGCATGGGCTATATATACTGTAGTACAAGGTATTTTGTCAAAAATGACTAGGAGAGGATTCACAATTTTAATAATTTTTTCTGATACGCATACATGTCCTTATGTTGTGTATCGAGTTTGAACTGATTCCGATCAAATTTGGATTTTTTATTAATTTTTAAATTTGCTCAAAAATCGGGCCAACGTCCTTGTACTATAGTACAGGAATTTTGGCCAAATTTCGTCAAAAATGACTAGGAGAGAATCCTCCATTTTTATAATTTTTTCTGATACGTATACATGTCCTTATGTTGTGTATCGAGTTTGAACTGATTCCGGTCAAATTTGGATTTTTTATGAATTTTTAAAGTTGCTCCAAAATTGGGCCAACGTCCCTGTACTATAGTACAGAAATTTTGGCCAAATTTTGTCAAAAATGACTAGGAGAGAATCCTCCATTTTTATAATTTTTTCTGATACGTATACATGTCCTTATGTTGTGTATCGAGTTTGAACTGATTCTGGTCAAATTTGGATTTTTTATGAATTTTTAAAGTTGCTCTAAAATTGGGCCAATGTCCCTGTACTATAGTACAGGAATTTTGGCCAAATTTTGTCAAAAATGACTAGGAGAGAGTTCTCCATTTTTATATTTTTTTCTAAAACATATACATATACATGTCCTTATGTTGTGTATCAAATTTAAACTGATTCCAATCAAATTTGGATTTTTTATGAATTTTTAAATTTGCTCAAAAATCGGGCCAACGTCCCTGTACATATAAGTACATGTTAATGTAACTCTTACCTTCTGATAGCCTTGAATCAAACGCTCTTGCTCTTCGTTACTCACACTGGGTTTATGCTCTACTTTCTCTGATTCTGATTTGCGTAGCTATTAAAATAAAAGTTACATTATACGTACATGTACATGTAAGTGTACTTACCTTTGCTCTAAGGTCTAACAGTTCCTTTCTGAGGTCCTTAATTTGCTGGCCATAGTCAAGTTGAAGCTTATCTTTTCTTCTTTCGTGGTCCTTGATCTGTTCCTCTAGTTCTCTTACTCTTTCTCTCTCCTCTTCACAAGCAGTCTTCCACTGCTCAGCCTCCTGCTGCATAAGCTCATTTTGAAGAACACTCTGCTTTGGTTGAGATGAAGGTAGAGGTGATCCAGGAATAGACGATTCATTAGAAACCGAGGGGGTAGGCTTCTCATTATCGGCACTGCTCTTCATGATATTACTAGACACTGCGCTAGTTAATTCTTCAACTGCTAGAGTTCTCAATAATTCTTGTAAACTCTTTCCTTCGGTACTTTTACTGGGTACTGGTCCTCCTGCAGTGAGTGTTGGTAGTGGAGTAGGTAATAATGACAAAGGATTAACTACTGATCCATCAGAGAATGAATGAGCCACTAATGGTACTGATGATGAAGGAGTGATTGGAGTTGATAATGAACTTGTCTTTGGCAGCACTGCTGTGGATAAAACCTGTTTCAAGTGTCCATTAGATGAGACTAAGCCTCCATCAGAGACTAGGGGAGGTGCTGGTACTGGCTCTGATTCAATGTGTTCAAGTGATCTCGAGACTGAAGCATCAACTTTAAATGAACCTGTCAAATCCTCATCTTCCTCCTCTTCCTTGCCTTGAGACAACAGGAGAAACTGCTGATTGGAACCTTGTTTCTCTATAATATCAGACGATGTTGAATTGCACACAGGCAACGATTGAAGTCCCTCCTGTGACACTTGCCTCTTGCTTTGAGTCATCTCTGACTGGCTCTGAGAGTCAATCTTAAAAGGAGAGGTGTTATCACTGACAGATGAAGCACTTGATACAAAACTATGATCACTAGGGCCATCTTTGATACTAGACTGGGGAGGATCGGTTGGTTTAATAATGGCCGAAAGAGGAGCACTGGATAGACTAATGCTCCCCTCTTTACTGCTCTTCTTATAAGCAGGTCGTGATAATGAATGGGCCAGTGTAGCATTAGTACTAATATTAGGTATTGGTATTAATCTGGGAAAGGATCCTGAGGAAATGGAGGTAGCAGTGGTAGGAGGAGGATGAATGGTGTGGCCTGGTGAAGTAGGTTTCGGTGAGAGGATGTCATTAATTGATGATGCTGATGATGAAGAACTCAATGGTATAGGAGGAATGTTATGCAGTTGTAATTTCATTTGAGGATTAGCTGATGAAGAAGAAACAGGGGCATGTTTAGGTAACTCTTCTTGATTTTCATCATCATCATCTTTTTCAGTGCTCATATCGTCATCGCTGACATGTGGAGTAGCATCTGTAATGTACATGAGT